GAGAGAGCCTTTTGCTCTACTACCCTAACCTCAAATAAACTAGATTGAAATACAGGACTGTAGTTATTCCTCAGGAGACAACCTAGGTAAGGTCTCCTGCATATTCTAGAGATATATGTCTCTCTGTGTATCTACACTGAGAAATATACAGTGTATTTACACTGAGAAATATACAGTGTATCTACACTGAGAAATATACAGTGTATCTACACTGAGAAATATACAGTGTATCTACACTGAGAAATATACAGTGTATCTACACTGAGAAATATACAGTGTATCTACACTGAGAAATATACAGTGTATCTACACTGAGAAATATACAGTGTATCTACACTGAGAAATATACAGCGTATCTACACTGAGAAATATACAGCGTATCTACACTGAGAAATATACAGTGTATCTACACTGAGAAATATACAGTGTATTTACACTGAGAGATTTATTTAATCAATATTTTAGACACTAATACACAACTGCACAACATAACACACTATAACACAACTAACACACTATAACACAAATAACAAACTATAACACAACATAACACACTATAACACAACATAACACCGAGAACACCTCCCAAAAACGCAGAGTAACACCACATGAAACACAATAAAACCACATAGCACACAATAACACCACATACATGCAACACCACAAAATAACACACAATAACACCACATGAAACACAGAAACACATAACACACATAACACCACATAACACCAACACCACCACATAACACACAATAACACCACATAACACACATTCACCAATAACACACAATAACACCACATAACACACAATAACACCATATGAAACACAATAACACCACATAAACACACCACATAACACACAATAACAGCACATAACACAATAACACCACATTACACACAATAACACCATATAACACAAAAACACCACATAACACAAATAACACCACATAACACATAATAACCCACATAACCACATGCACACATAAAACACAATAACACCACATAACACACAATAACACCACATAACACACAATAACACCACTACACACAATAGCACCACATAACACATGATAACACCACATAAAAACATGATAACACCACATAACACACAATAACACCACATAACACATGATAACACCACATAACGCATAATAACACCACATAACACATGATAACACCACATAACACACAATAACACCACATAACACATGATAACACCACATAACACACAATAACACCACATAAAACATGATAACACACATACACCATAATAACAACATAAACATGATAACACCACATAACACACAATAACACCACATAACACATGATAACACCACATAACACACAATAACACCACATAACACATGATAATACCACATAACACATAATAACACCACATAACACACAATAGCACCACATAGCACATAATAACACCACATAAACACACAATAACACCACATACACATGATAACACCACATAGCACACAATAACATCACATAAACATATGATAACACCAAGCACAAATAACACTACATTACAAACAATAAACACCATAGCACATAATAACACCACATAACACACAATAACACCACATAAACCCCAATAACACCACATAACACACAATAACACCACATAACACAATAAACACCACATAACACACAATAACAGCCACATAACACATGATAACACCACATAGCACACAATAACACCACATAACACATGATAACACCACATAGCACACGATAAACAACATTACAAACAATAACACCACATAGCACATAATAACACCACATAACACACAATAACACACATAACACACAATAACACCACATAACACACAATAACACCACATAAACAATAACACCACATAACACACAATAAACCACATAACACCATGGCACACATAACACATGATAACACCACATAACACATGATAACACCAATAAAAACACAATAACACCACATAACACAGGATAACACTACATAACACATATAAACACATACACATGATAACACCACATAACACACAATAACACCACATAACACAGATAAACACCAATAACACACTTAACACCATATAACACATGATAACACCAATAACACATAATAACACACATAACACACAATAGTACCACATAGCACATAATACACACATAACACACAATAACACCACATAACACATGATAACACCACATAGCACACATAAAAACCACATAACACATGATAACACCACATAGCACACAATAACACTACATTACAAACAATAACACCACATAGCACATAATAACACCACATAACACACAATAACACCACATAACACAGATACACCACATAGCACACAATAACACCACTAACACATGATAACACCACATAGCACACAATAACACTACATTACAACAATAACACTATATAGCACAAATAACACCATATAACACACAATAACACCACATAACACACAATAACCACATAACACATAAAGCACCACATAACACACAGTAACACCACATAACACATGATAACACCACATAACACACAATAACAGCACATAGCACACATAATACTACATACAAACGTAAACCACATAACCACATGATAACACCACATAACACAATAACACCACATAACACACAATAACACCACATAGCACATAATAACACCACTAACACACAATAACACTACATAACACATGATAACACACATAACGCCACAGCAATAATAACACCACATAACACAAATAACGCCACTAGCACACAATAACACCACATAACACACATAACCCCCCATAGCACATAATAACACCACATAACACAATAACACTACATAACACATGATAACACACAATAACGCCACAGCACATAATAACACCACATAACACACAATAACACCACAAACACTGATAACACACAATAACACCACATAGCACATAATAACACCACATAACACACAATAAACCACTAACACCATAACACACATAGCACATAATAACACCACATAACACAAATAACACCACATAAACATATAACACCAATAACACCCCATAGCACATAATCACCACATAACACACATAACACCACATAACACACATAACACACATAACAAACAATAACACCACATAGCAATAATAACACCACATAACACCACAATAACACCACTAACATGTAACACACAATAACACCACATAGCACATAATAACACCACATAACACACAATAACACCACTAACAATAACACCACATAAACAATAACACCACATAACACACATAACACCCATAACACACAATACACCACATAACACAATAACACCACATAAACAATAAACACCACATAACACAATTAACACCACATACACACAATAAACCACATAGCACTATAACACCACATAACACACAATAACACCACATAACACATGATAACACACAATAACACCACATAGCACATAATAACACCACATTAATACAAATAACACCACATAACACACAATTTAACCAATAGCACATATAACACCACACATAACACACAATAACACCACATAACACACAGTAACCCACATACACACAAAACAACCACATAACACATGATAACACACATAACACCACATAAACACAAATAACACCACATAACAACAATAACACCACATAACGCAAATAACACCACATAAACCACAATAACACACATAACACACAATAACACCACATAACACAATAACACCACATAGCACACAATAACACTACATTACAAACAGTAACATCAAGTCTATTTCTAAAATAGTTTGAACCCTAATCCATCTATTTCTAAAGTATGTTTACCCATGTTCCATCAATTTCTAAACCATTTTGAGCCCCACGTCAATTTCTAAAACAATGTAACCCACATATTTTATATCTAAATCTAAATTTAAAACATTCGTTGTCAGTATTCCACCAAAATTCGTCACATTAATGGGATCCAATTTCTTTTATTACCTAAAAAAATGACCCCTGGCCTTTTTCCAGCCTTTCTTAAATGGTCTCCAGACCATTGGGAGTCAGGGAAGAATGCATGTGAGTGATCATTATGATAATTGATGGTGTATATTCGTAAATTTCATATTTTTCCCGTATTTTTTCGTTCTTGGCTGGAAGTTTTGGGAGAGAGAGAATAGTGTTCGACTTCTGGTGGTCTGTGTCCTCTTTTTCTTCTTTCTTCTTCTTCTTCTTTTTCTTCTTCTTCTTCTTCTTCTTCTCTTTTAATTTGGAAATTTTTGTAAATGGTTTTAAACTACGTATTTTTTTTTTGTAAATCACGTAAATGATGTGTTACTCTTGTTTTTACAGGCACTGTCAGGGAAGTCTCTGTAGCGAAGACCAAAGTGTTCGTAGCTAACAACACAGCCTCCACTAAGGACGGTAAGTACCCACCTACATCACTGGATCCCATCTACACTCCTTAGATCCCATCTACACCCACTGGTGCTTCATCTAAACCATGCAGGTCACCTGGGTGCACCTACATCCACTTCAGTTCACTCGTAGATGCTTAGACACCACTTACACTCACTGACACACCACCTACGTCCAGTGGAATACACCCACACTCACTGACACACCACCTACACCCGCTAGAATTCACCTACACCCAGATAATACATTTAGATAATACATGATAATACTCAGCCTAGGTTAGAGAGTCCTCAGCAGATATTTTTCCTATGTACTCGTCTATACTCCCATGTACCTTTTTCAGGTCAGCTGACATCCTTTCTACGTACGATGTACCCTGTGTACTCATTTGTACTCCCATGTACCTTTCCGTTCAGGTCAGCTGAGGGTTGAAATACAAGGACCCCGAGAGTTGTATATAGAGGAAGGGTCGTCCCTGTCACTGACCTGTCTAGTGACCTCGTCACACGGGCCGTCTACTCCCGTCTACTGGTACCACGACACCAATTTGATTGACTACAACTCCCCTAGAGGGGGAGTCAACCTCAAGGTGGGTGAGGATTCTGTAAACAATTCTCTCCCCTTTGAAATTCCACCTGATTTCTAGATCAGTTTTCTAGATCAATTTTCTGGACCCATTTTTTAAGACCAATTTCAAATCAGAAATGCAATTAGATCTATAATTTGACTCATATATAGTAAAGTAATCTACGGACTCTAACTTCAAAACTAACTCTGGGTAAAGTTAGCAGCCTACTTACTAACTTAAGCTTAGATTGGCAAACTTTAAAACTTAGTGACTCTAAGAAGCTAAGTTTATAGTTGACACAAACTAACCAGTTTCCCCTCCTGCCCTCCACTTTGTACCCCTTCTCATTTTTCCCCTCCCCTCATCCACTTCCTCCATTCACACTCCACTCTTTCTAACCCTTCCTACCTCCCTCCATCCATACCTCTCTACACCCATTTATTCCACTCTGTTCCCTACCTGTCCACCCTTTCTTACTCCTTGTACCTATTCCCCTCATCCTCCAAACCTTCTTCCTCTCCAACCTCCACAACCGCTCCCTATTCCTTTGCCCTAACCATCCCTCCCTTCACTTCACTCCCCACAGATTGACCAGAGTCGTGGGGAGACCATCACTCGTCTGGTAGTATCAGCTGTGGGACCTGGTGACTCGGGAATGTACTCATGCGTTCCTCCAGGGTCCCATCCATGCCACTGTCAGAGTCCACGTCCAGAAGGGTGAGTCCAGCTACCCTTCACAGAGTCCACTTCAGCCATTATAGTCCACTGTAATTCCTAGATTATACTCATATCACAATAATTCAGCATTTGAGTAATTCAGAACTTATTACAGTACTTATGGATAATTGTAACCATTATTACGTATTATGTATCACTTCCCATTAAAACCTGATTGATTAATGGGGTTTAAATCCTGTCTGCTACACGAAGGTCATTACAACTGCATGTCACCTGCTCACCACCACGCAAGAATACTTTAATGCCTAAAATAATAATTAAAATAACCTCTCAGTGTATATACACTGAGACTCACTTTAATATATATACATACATATATAAATAATGGTCATGTCACATGTTAATCTTGTCATGAGACGAGTGGATTATGTTACGCTGAATGTTAGTTAATCTCACTTCAACTTTATAAATGTTTTAATGTTTGGATGTTTGGATGTTTAATTATTAAGTTACAGTCTGCAAAAAAATTCTGTAAAACTTGTGACTTTTCCCATAATGCAATACCATAAAATTTCACCTAATATCGTGACCCTTTACATTTATTTGGAAAATGAAATTTTCAATGTTTTGCTTGTTAATTTATTTACTCCTTTGTTTAATTGTTTAACTTGTTGGCTTGTTTGTTTAATTGTTTGTTTATCTGTTTTTCCCCTGCAGGAGACCACGAAGCAGCTATCCAGCAGGGAGGACTGGACGACACAGCCGCCAGCAGCAGTTCGACTCACCTCCTGCCTGGAACGCACCTCTCCTTCCTTTACTTCCTGTTTCTCCTGTTTCTCTCGTCCCCTTCCCTCTTCCATGATCTGCAAGCCCAGTTTATGGGTCTCTCTCTTCTCGCACACTTTCACCCTCCTCTCTTATTCCCGTGCCTCGCTGTTTCTCTCTTTATCGGCTTTCTACCTACGTGTTTTCCAAGATTCCTTATTTTATCAGCCTCCGCCTCTTCCTCCTGCACTGCCAGGCCTTCTTTATTATCTTAATTCCTCCATTTCCCCAGAACTCCTTGCTCCCGCTGCTCCTCTTCTTTCTTCTTCCCCTGTTTCTTCCTCCTCCATTCCTACTTTCTCTTATTTAGAGCAAAGAGAGAGAGAGAGAGAAGAAAAGCCGGAGCTTTTCTCCAGCTAAAATCTTATTTCTGCCGATGGTGAGGATCCATCAATTTGAAGACGTCAGCGCACCTCTGGTGGCGTTTGAGGGATGTCACGATGGCTCTGTGACCTCCACCAACAACGGTCACCTGATGATTCGCAAGCATTGGTAATGATGTCGCCTGGGAGTATGTGAATGTTTAGTGATGTCAGACGACTTTTCTCTTGATGTCCCTCTAAGGTCACTCGGCTTTTTCGAAGTTTGTGGCGATGTTAGGAGACATCGGGAAGGTTCGAAACGTTGCTTGCTTCAAGGCAGAAGTGTATTTAAGTCACGTGAACTTTGTGATGTCACATTCAAGAGCGGCTCTGCGGATGTCACACAGTTTCTGAAATCGGCTAAACTACCAGCAAGATCTAATGACATCAGCTGGAATCAAAGAGCACCTGGTGATGTCACAAGGGCATTAAGATCCTTCTAAAAATGATGTCAGATGACGCCAGAAAGCAGATGCTGCTGTACCATGATGTCCTGAGCGACGTCACTGTGAGACTCTAGACATAACACGTTATCTAAGCCCACTACTGATGTCAATGATGTCAGTAAAAGACACTTTGTTAAAGGCTACAAAAGATGTCTCAGGTCCCCCCAGGAGAAGAGGAATGATGTCTCTTAACCTCTGCGAGTACCTGAGTACATCAGACTGACATCATAGGGAAGTACTTA